GAATAACATAACATGTGGGATTAATTGAAATGGAGTCCAGGCCGATCTCCAAACTCCACTTTTTGACGACACATAACTATGTTGTAGTAAAAATAACATCTTAATTTTATGATGGTACATGCACACAATTAATACTTAAGAGAAATAGAGAAATACAGTCGCCAAGTTAATGTCCATTCAAATAATGGACACGACTCCCTCCCCCTCTTCTCACACTACACTGCTGGCTCTTCCCTCTGAGAAATTTTGGGGGGAAAACCAGGTATAGTAATAAATAATACCTCAAACTAAAGTTAGGATAATATAATTGACATTGCTGGATTCCTTGTAAGACCAGGAATATTTTGAATATAAATGTCATATATTTTTCACAAAAGATAACATATTTACTCAGATTAAACATTACATCTAAAATTTGTATGTCTAATGCAAAATCTATGATGTTTTTATTCAAAATGATCATCAAATTGTAAGAATTCCAGCAATGTAAATTATATTCTGGCTGTGTAATTTGTATTAATTTTATGAGCTAAAACAAATATCTTCAGTTAATAAAAAAAAAAATATTCTTCACGACACTATCTGTCAATCAAAGTACCCCACCTTGCCTCCCCCCCTCTTCCAACCGCGCGGTCAGTCCCAACCCTCCCCCCCACCCCCCACCAATCCTCCCTTCAAGAGAAAGAGTGGGTGAAAAAAATAAATTTTAACATTTTGTATTAAATAATACCTCAGATTAAAGTTAGGATAATATAATTGACATTGCTGGATTCCTTGTAAGACCAGGAATATTTTGAATATAAACGTCATATATTTTGCACAAAAGATAACATACTTACTCAGAGTGAACATTATATCTAAAAATTTTATGTCTAATGCAAAATATATGATGTTTATATTCAAAATGATCATCAAATTGTAAGAATTCCAGCAATGTAAATTATATTCTGGCCGGGTAATTTGTATGAATTTTATGAGCTAAAATAAAAATCTTCAGTTAATAAAAAAAAAAATATTCTTCACACGGTAACAGATGGTCGGTCGCCGGTCCCTCCCTCCCTCCCCCCACCCCCCACCAACGTCCCTACTAGATAAATGTGTGGGAATACCAGACTGTTTACCTTTTTAGTAATAAATAATAAATCAGACTAAAGTTAGGATAATATAATTGACATTGCTGGATTCCTTGTAAGACCAGGAATATTTTGAATATAAATATCATATATTTTGCACAAAAGATAACATATTTACTCAAGAGTAAACATTATATCTAAAATTTGTATGTCTAATGCAAAATCTATGATGTTTATATTCAAAATGATCATCAAATTGTAAGAATTCCAGCAATGTAAATTATATTCTGGCCGGATAATTTGTATGAATTTTATGAGCTAAATAAAAAAATTATACTTCACCGTGTAAAGGGGTACACCCACCGCGGAATGTGAGCATCCTGGGTTCTGGCAGGGCACCGCGTAAACGTGGAAACGCGGAATGTGGGACCGCGTATATATATATATATATATATATATATATATATATATATATATATATATATATATATAAATATATATATATACATACATACATACATACACAGTTGAACCTCGATTTACGCGGTTCTCGTTTATGCATTTGGTCATTTACGCAGTACCTTGCCAGAACCGGGATGCCCGATTTATGCTGTGAATTTGCTCATTTACGTGGGTGAAGTATAATTTGTTTATTTACTGAAGATATTTGTTTTGCCTCATAAAATTCATACAAATTACCCGGCCAGAATATAATTTACATTGTTGGAATTCTTATAAGATTGTAATTATTTTATATATAAACATCATGGAATTTGTATTAGACACACAAATTTTAGATCTAATGTAAGAATTTTGATTACAAAGAGCCAAAGTTTTATCTTTTGTGCAAAATATATGAGGTTTATATTCAAAATATTCCCTGATCTACAAGGAATCCAGCAATGTCAATTATATTATCCTAACTTTAGTCTGAGGTATTATTTATTACTATACATTAAAATCTAGTGTTTTCACCCAAACATTTCTCAGAGAGGGAGGAGCCAGCGAGCGTGGGAAGAGGGGGGGGGAGAGTTGAGTCCATTATTTGAATGGACATTAACCTGGCAACTGAATTTCTCTTAAATATTAATTGTGTGTGCATACCATCATAAAATTAAGATGTTATTTTTACTACAACGTAGGTATTGTGTCGGAAAAAGTGGAGTTAGGGAGTCGGCCCAGTCACTATTTCAATTAATCCCATATGTTCTCTTATGCCATTTACGCGTTTCTCGTTTTATGCGCTACACCGAGGGTTCAATTGACCGAATAAATCGGGGGACCATTGTGTGTGTGTGTGTGTGTGTGTGTATATATGTATATAATAAAATTCCGTCTTTGGGAACAAATTTTCCAAGGTTGAAAATCGAGAATGTCTTGAATAAAGATGAAATTTGAAGTATTTTTTTTGGGGGGGTGGGGGGACC